GCGGGAAGGGGAAAGGTAGCTTTGAAGCCCCCCCCCCTTCAGCTAGGGCCCCACCCAGCTTAACAACGCAGACCAGAAGGAAGGGGGTGCTTCGGAAGCCCCCCCTCCCTTTCCGAAGGAACGGGGGGGGTAGCTTAAAGCTGGGGCCACCCTTTTCTTCTTCCCGGCCCTGCGGGCGCGCTCTTCTGGAGAGAGGGTGAAAAACAAGTGAGGAAGAGAAGGCAAAGAGGACAGGACAAGAGGGTGAGGAGGACAGAGGAGGCAATGGAGGCCAGAGGAGTCCATGGAAGGCCAGCCACCACCCCGCCCCGCCCACCGCCGAAGCTGTCCGTGGGGGACTGGGGGAAATTCTGTACACAAAGCTGACTTTGCACATAATCCCTACCTTCCTCATCATCACCACAAACATCATGACCATCACCAAGCATCACCAACAATCACCATCATCATGATAGTCATCATCATCGTCACCATCACCATCACCATCACCACCATCATCATCATCAGCATCATCATCCACATCATCCACATCATCATCATCATCGTCATCATCATCACCATCACCATCACCATCACCATCACCATCACCATCATCATCATCATCAGCATCGTCATCATCATCATCATCGTCATCATCATCTGAATCATCAACATCATCATCATCCTCGTCATGTCATCGTCACCGTCACCGTCACCGTCATCATTCATCATCAGTATCAGCATCAACATCGTCGTCGTCGTCACCATCATTGGAAGAACCCGCGCGACACCCGTGGGATCCATCAGGGGCAGAGGCCATCGGAGGCCAGAGCAGGGCACGGGAGGCGCTCCCGCCCACCGCCGACGCGAGCCGAGGGGAGCAGGAAAGATGCAAATACAAAAAGCTGGTTGTGTACATATTGTCCCCCTTCATCATCTTCATCACCACCAAAATCACGAACACCATCACAATAGCCATCACTATCACCATGATGATGATCATGATGAGGATCACCATCATCATCATGCACATCATCATCATCATTACCATCACCATCACCATCACCATCACCATCACCATCACCATCACCATCACCATCACCATCATCATCATCATCATCATCATCATCATCATCATCATCATCATCATCATCATCTGCATCACCCCATCATTACCATCATAACCGTCATCATCGTCACAAACATTATCGTCACTATCATCATCGTCATCGTCATCTCCATCATCATCAACTCCATCATTATCACTGGGAATTTGAGGAACCCGCGCGAAACCGTGGGATCCATCAGGGTCAGAACCATCGGAGGCCAGCGGCCATGGGACGGCCCCCCCGCCCACCGCCTAGGCTGGCCGGGAAGGGCCGAGGGAAATTCTGTACGAAAAGTCGGCTTTGTACAGACTTCTCCTCTGCTTCGTCATCATCATCAGCAGCATCCTCCTCCTCCTCCTCCTCCTCCTCCTCCTCCTCCTCCTCCGTATCCTCCTCATCATCATCGCCACCACCACTATCACCATCAGCATCACCATCACCACCACCATCATCGTCTCCATCATCATCATCATCCTCCTTCTCCTCATCATCATCGTTACCATTATCAACATCATCGTCATCAACATCAACATCATCACCATCAGCATCATCATCAACACCATCATCCATCGTCTTCGTCATCGTCATCATCGCCATCGTCGACCGTCCTGCACTCCTGACATCGTTCCTCCAAACGCACCCCATCATTCTTCCTCGCTTTGTCAAACCGCTTCCGTCCTCCCTCCTCCCATCCCTCCTTCCCGCCTGGTCGTTGCCTCGTCATCCGCTTTCTCCCTCTCCCGGCGGCTATAATGGGCCCTACTTGCTTGACACTGCGTAGCACACACCATGAAACTACCTGAGCAACTATGCCACGGATTCTCTAACTGCGAGTGTCGTCGTCATCGTCGCCACCGTCACCTTCACCGTCATCATCATGATCATCATCATCATCATCATCATCATCATCAGCATCATCATCATCAGCATCATCATAAATATCTTCGCTATCATGGTTATTGAAATTATCGTTATTGATATCGTCGTCAGCGTGATCGTCATCATCGTCGTTGTCGTTATCGCTCTCGTCGTCATCATCATCACCATCATCATCGCAATTGCTGTCATCGTTATCACTGTCATCGACAATGTCGCCAGCATCACCGTGATCATAACCATCACCCTCACCATCATACTCGCGACCATTATCACCATTTTCGTCGTTGACCTCGTCAGCTTAGTCACCAACAACGTTGAAACCATCACCATCAACATCACCACCACCATTTCCATCATCATCATCACCATCACCATCACCAACCCTCTCGCACCATCGTCATCATATCATCATATCATCATGTCATTATCATTGCCAATGTCATCGTCACTGTCACCGTCATCATCATAATCATCATCGTCATCATCATGGTGATCATGATCGGGGAATTTGAAGAATCCATGTGCAACCGTGGGTTCGATCAGGAGCCGAGTCGTCGGAGGCAATAGGAGGCCCCCCACCCACCGCCGAAGCTGGCGGTGGAAATTCGTTACACAGAACGGGCTTTGAACAGACTTCCCCCTCTCTCGTCATCATACCATCATCATCACCTGATAATCATTAGCATACTGATAATCCTAATCATCATCATCATCATCATCATCATCATCATCATCATCATCATCATCATCATCATCATCATCATCGTCACCGTCATCGCCATCATAGTCATCATCATTCACTGTCATGATCATTGCCGTCGTCATCACAATCGCCACTCGGCCCTGCTTGACACTTGGATGCCTCGGTGGGATACCCTCCGTGGCGCCCTTCGAACTGAGACTGCGGAAAGAAGGGGATGGTGAGAAGGAGGAGACAGCGGGATGAGGAGGGGAGCAGCAGCAGCAGCAGCAGCAGCAGCAGGAGGACAAAGGAGGACGAGGATGCGGAATGAGGAAGAGTGGAACGGACAAGTGAGGACACATGTCGGAATATCCAGGGGACAGGAGGAAGAGGAAGAGAAATCCGTTGATGACGAGGCGGAGCCTGTTACACTCAGTTCCCCTCAGATTCTGGGAGCAGGAAGCGGATGAGGAGGGGGAGGAGCAGGAGGACGAGGTTGATAACGGAGCGCCCCTTGTTACGCTCAGTTTCGCCTCAATTTCGCCTCACTTTCTTGCAGTCTTCGCAGATGCAAATGGTGATGTGCATGTAGCTCAGGACAAGCTGAGCGCAACTGAAGGAAAATGTGTGTAACTCAAGGAAACTAAATGTAAATCAAAGAAACTGGGTGTCACTGGAAGAAACTGCATGCACAAGAACAACTGATTGAACGTAACGGAAACTGAGTGCAAAATAATACGGAGTGTAATTGAAGGAGACTGAATAGGGAAACTGGGTGCAACTGAGGGGGACTGAATGTGTCTGAAGGGAACGGAGGGCAGTGTAACTGAGTGTAGAGAGCCGGCGCCGTCCGACGCTGCGCGGGGCCAACATGAAATGTTCATGGTAATGCGATGACGAACGACTGTTCTTTGATATGGATATCGTGATGTTCTGAACCGACGCTGGCGCCATTGCCCGGCTGGCGGACACCCTCCTGGGTGGCCGGCACCTCCTTCTTATTTCCGCTGCTCCTCCGCGCTCTTTCTTGCCTCACGTTCGTGCGCTCGGCGCAGCAGATGCAAAGCAAACATCCTGGTGGTGGGCGCCCAGCTTCCCACTCCGAAGCTCCCCCGCGAGGAGGAGGAGGAGGAGGAGGAGGAGGAGGAGGAGGAGGAGGAGAGCGCCCTCCCAAAGCCCCCCCTCAGCGCGGTGAAGGAAACGCGCGGCAGCCCCTGTGCTTACCGCGCGTGCATTCCCTCTCTCCTGGAGCCGCTGCCTCCCAGAAGAGGGCTCGCGCGAGCGGCATCGGACCGCGGCCAGACGCTGTGCCTTCCCGGTGTACTTGCAACTTTACGTGCCGCCTGCAGCGGTCCTTGCTGGCAGTGGCGCTTTCGCTGTTCCTCTGGGCGCCGACAAAACGCGCTCGAGACTGCCTCCCCAGGTCTCCCCAAGCAAACGGACTTCGCCTCTCCTGTCTGATCGCCAGCCGCCTCCCTGATTTATTTTGTTCTCTCTCTCTCTCTCTCTCTCTTTCTCTCACTCTCTCTCTATCTCTCTCCTGTGCACAATACTACACCCCTGTGGTGCAATTAGGGGCAAGCGATGCGCGATACCCTGGCCCGCTGAAAGGACGAGAAGGGAGGGGAAGCCCCCTGCCCCTGCCTCCCCCTTCCCCAGTGGCCCCCCCTTAATGTCACCTCCTCCTCATCCTCCTCATCCTCCTCCTCCTCCTCCCTCATCTCATCCTCCTCATCCTCCTCCTCCTCCTCCTCCTCATCATCATCATCATCATCAGCATCAGCATCATCATCATCATCATCATCATCATCACCATTATCATCATCATCATACATCATCATCATCATCATCATCATCATCATCATCATCATCATCATCATCATCATCATCATCATCATCATCATCATCATCATCATCATCATCATCATCATCAACATCAACATCAACATCAACATCAACATCATCATCATGATCATCATCATCATCATCATCATCATCATCAGCAGCAGCATCTTAGCATCATCATCATCATCCTCACCCTCATCCTCATCCTCATCATCCTCTTATCCCAGAGCGATAATGCATTTCCCCTGAGGGTTCCCCCCCTCTGGTTTTCGGGCCTTAGCTCAGGTCTCTGGCGGCCGTTCAGGACGATCCTGACGCCCCCCGGAACGCTGTCGGCGAAGCGCAGCTGCTAGAATACACCCCGAGGCTGGGAAACCGCCGAGACCCGACGAAAGTGTCAGAAAACCTGGAATTTCAAACCGAGCGGCGACCACGACGGCGACCACGACGGCGACCACAGCGGCGACCACGACAGCGACCACGACGGCGGCGGCGACGGGCGCGGCCGTGAGCTCAGCGGGTCTCCCCGCGGCTCCGTCGCGACGCTGTCGGCGTCGCATTGCACGCCCGCGTCGCGGCGCTCGGGCGGCGGCCCGGGGGCCCGGGAGCCTCCAGCGGAAGGGGGGGGGGGGGGGGGCGATGCTCGAGAAGGGGTGGTGGAAGGGATCCTTCTTGGGGAGGTGGTGCGGGGGACCAGCTCACGGGGGGAAAACATGGGGCTGGCACATCGCCGACAGATCGGCGATAGGCTGTCGATAGCGAATCCGCACCTTCCAGGGCGGGGCGGCCTTTATTGGCGAGAACGTTGAAGGGGGGAAGCATGGAACTGACACATCGCCGACGTATCGGCGATATCACATAGACTTTCGATACCAATCCGCACATTCCACTGGGGTGGTTCCTACCAGCGATGACTGGGCGATTGGGAGCCGAGGCGATTGGGAGCGATGACTGGGCGATTGGGAGCCTGCCCCCCCTGGCGTTGCCCCTGACGTGAAAAGGATGGAGTGGAGAGGAGGGAGGGGAGGAATGCAAAGAGCTTCCTGCTCCTCGTCTTTCTCCTCCTCCCCTTCGGGACCCCAAGGCCGTGCGGTGACGGACAGCGTGGCGACTTCGGACTCCCAAGAGACCGCGCGGTCTGCCACCGTACGGTCCTGGGACCCTGGAAGCCCTGGTCGCCCGAGAAGTCCTCGGAGAACGACCCGAATCCCAAAACCGTGCGGTGACCCCGAATCCCCACCGACTCACCACGCGGTATGGCCACCGCACCGTCTGGGGGGCCCCCGATCCCTCCTCGTCTCGTCCCCTGGGTCCTGTTTGGGACAGGGGAAGGGAGCCTCAGCCTCCACTGCTGGGTCACGGCAATCGCCAGGCTCGGCCGTGGCCCACCGGCACGGCAAGGCTTGGGCGTTGTTTAATGGGGGGCGATCGATGGGAAGGGGGAACACGAACACCTTTCGTGCCCCTTTTGGGCCTCCAGGACCATAGGGGGCCCCTGCTGAGTTCGGTTCGGGCCCCTCTAGGGCTCCTTTGAGGGCGCAAGAGGTGCACCTGTTTGTCAACCCCCCACCTCCTTTATCGCCCTCCCCATCAATTCTGCGAGAGGCCCGGGGACGACCACAGCCGGGAAGCGGAACGCGCGGCCAGGTCGGGAGCGTCCAGTCTTGCAGCGGGGGATGGGCAGGATCAGTCAACATCGCATCGAGAGATCGGATCGTATCCGCCGATCCCTTCGGGTCTACGGAGTGTGAGACCGCTGCTCTCCCCAAAACCCTCCCTGGGGGGCTCCGTCCAGCCGGTTTGAAGGGGGGGGGTCCCGATGAAGTAGGCTGGCGGAGTCGGCGGCCCCGGCAGCCTCAGACGTGCTTGTGGACGGCCTCCGAAGGCTTCGACATGGCTCACTGGGGCCTCAGGGCGGTTCGAGATGGCACCCAGTCGACCTGTGACGGCTTCAAGACAGCCCACGAACCCTCCAGAGTCCCTCCACGAGACCCTCCACGAGGGCTCAAACTGGCCAACATTGGGCCATATCCGAAGAAAAACCAAACAATGTTTGGAAAACAAACTCCCAGGCCGTGAACAGCGACGCGTGACGGGCGAAGAAGCTTGCAGGGGGCTCCACGACGGCTCCAAGTGGCCCCAAAGTGGCCCAACATTGAAAAGGTGCCAATCACCTCCACATGGCGAGTGCAAAACACTTCACAGTAAACCCAGGAAGGGCCCCAACAACTGCCGAGGAGAGAAACCAGGGGAATGGCCCGCAGAAGGCCCAAAGTCACTGCTGTGCATGGGGTTTGTCCATGGTCCATGGCGTTTCCGCAGTCCCACGAAACATTCAGAACCAATCCAGGTGGCCTCTCCAACAACAACACCGAGTGACCAAGCACTCCATCTAAACCAGGCCCACGAACGACCTGATTCAAGGGGTCGGCGGGTATGGGGTGAGCATGAAGATTCGAAATATGCGTCGGCTCGGGCTGCATCGGCACTGAATCGAAATCGACTGGGATCGCATGACGCACAGCAACGCCGCGCAAACATCGGGCCGCATCGGATCGCTGGAAGTATCGGAATCGAATCAGATCTGGCTGGCCGAAGTCGATATCGAATCGAATCGGGTCGATCGGATCGAGCTGGACCCTGATGGGCGGGCGCGCGACCCCCAGACCGCACGTGCCCTGGGTGAGGAAACGGGGCGCGCATTGCCCTCGCCAGCTCCCCTCCCCCGCGCGGTCGTTCCCCCCCCTGGAGTGGGAGCAGGAGGGAGGGAGGGAGCAGGCGCAGGGAGGAGCACCAAAGAGGGGGAACAGAAGGAGCAGGAGGAACGGGGAGGGGAAGGAGGAGGGCGGAGGAAGGACGAGGAGGAGGGCGGAGAGGAGGAGGACGGCGGCCCCGCCGCCGCGGGCACTGGCAGGCGGAAGAGGGCGGAAGGGGAGAAGGGCAGCGGCGGAGGGAAAGGGCATTGATAGGACAGCGGCGGAGGGCAGGCACTGGCGAAGGCAGTGGCGGAGGAAGGGCAGTGGCGGAGGCAAGGCAGTGGCAGAAGGAGGAGGAGGAGGAGGAGGAGGAGGGCAATGGCGGAGAGAACAACGGCACAAATATAAACTGTCGGAGCTCGGCGCAGATTCCCTGGATCAGCGCCCCAGGCCCCCCTCCCTGGCGCGCGGAGAGCGCCAGGGGTGGCGCCAGAAGCTCCGTCAGGGGGCTCCAGGGCCAATCCAACAAATCCGCGCGGAGCTCCGACAGTCTATGGCTATGCAGCTTGCTCTTGCTCGAGGAGAGAATCGTACGCGCCTGAACACGAAGACCCGCCGCGGTCCACTGTACACGGCCGCGGGGCAGCCTCCGCAGCCGCCGCCGGCGCGGCCGCGGGCGTGCTGGCCCCTGGCGCGGAGCGAACGCCCCGCCTCCTCGTCCTTCTCCTCCTGCCTCATCTGCACCCTCCCCCGCCAACGCCCGCCTCCGCCTCCGCATCCTCCGGTTCCTGCTCCTGCTCCTGCTCCTCTTCCTCATCCTCATCCGCCCTCCCCCTCCCCTCCCCTCCCACGCCATCTTTTCCTCCTCATTCCCATCCTTGTCTCAGCGAAGCTGCACCTTCCTGGGCGGGGTGGGCTATCGGGCTCTTATCGGGGATGAGTGACCTATTTGGGGCTGATGCATCCCACCCGCTGCCACCGTCGGTGACAGAAGCGAGGCCTTCAAACGGCACAAGGTGGGGCAGTGAGGTGTTAAAGAGCGAGGTCCTCACCATCACTCCACAAGAAGGACTCGGACTCGGCCTCCTCTCCTGCGAGCTCTGAAAGGAGCCCAAGCGGGCGCAGCATCCCCCCCTGACCCTATCTCACCTCCTATCGTTGCCCTTGATCCTCGATCCTCATCCTCCTCCTCCTCCTCCTCCTCCTCCTCCTCCTCCTCCTCCTCCGCATCTTTTTTTCCCCCTCCTCCTCCTCCTCCTCCTCCTCCTCCTCCTGCTCCTCCTCCTCCTCCTGCACCCCTTGGCTGCTTCCCGCGTTTCTCCTCGTCCCTCAATCTTCGTCCTCGTCTCTCCCCTGCGTCCCTCCTCGTCCTCGTTCTCCCCTCCTTCGTCCTGCCCTCCTCGTCCCTCCTCCTCTCTGGGGGAGCCAAGAAGATACCGATACCGCTGCTCCCCGTACCTCTTACGGGGTGCGTTCTGACCAGACCTTCGAGAACATAGCCGTGGCGACGACGAGGACCCCCTGGGAAGCCCAAAAGGCGAGAACGAGGGAATGGTAGCGGTATGGGTACCTTTTCCTCCGCGATCCTTCTCGATCCTCCTCCTGGTCCTCGATCCTCCTCCTCCTCCTCCTCCTCCTCGGCTGCTCCTCCCCTCCTCGATCCTCCTCCTCGATCCGCGATCCTGCTCAGTCCTCCTCGATCCTCTTCGCTTGTTCCTCCTCCCGCGTCCGCCCACTCCTGGAAGCGGCTGGCGGTCCGCCTCCCTCGCGCCGCCTCTCGCTGGCGGCGCCGGCGAGCTCCGCCACGAGCTCGGCGCGCCTGGCGCGTGGCGCGCGTGCCCCACAAGAGGCCGCACGAAGCTGAGGGGCGGCTGGGGGGGGGGGGCGCCCAAGAGGCGTCCTAGAGGGGGACGTCCAAGAGGGGGGTGGCCCCAAAAAGGGCCCAAGAGGGGGACCACGAACCGACAATGCAAGCTTTCCGCCCCAAGAACTCCCCAGGAGGCCCCAAGAGACCCCCAAAGGGGCCCAGAAAACTCCCAAGAGGCTCTCCAAGATGCCCACAATAGGCCCCAAGAGGCCCCAAGATAGTCCCCCACGGGCCTCCAAACTCCCCCCGGCGGGCCCGCAAGAGGCTTCTCGCGAGATCCAAACGAACATCCTAGAAGCCTCTGAACCAGAATCCAGGCACGGACGCGGCATGGGCCGAAGGTCAATGGATATAAATGCTCAACAGCTCAACGGCGGTGAGGCGCGGAGCGCTCGGACTAGACAAAGAGGAGCGGTGCCAACATGCTGATCTTCTTACTCACTTTTCCTGGCCGACTCGACAAGTCTCCGAGACACAACAAGTAGCAACTCATGCTCAGGAAACAAGCTGTCGTAAGTAGCAACTCGTGTTCAGGAAACAAGCTGTCGTGCCGGCACCACCGCGCTCTCCAAGGTAATAAAGTACAGGGAGGGAGGGCGGGGGACCAAACAGACTATAGAGGTGCCCAATGATCACCCTCGGATGATTGGCCTGAGACCGCCTCGCCGCATCTAAACAAAACAGTCAGAGACAAATCTGTTCAACAGCTCAACGGCGGTGAGGCGCGGAGCGCTCGGACTAGACAAAGAAGACCGGCGCCAACATGCTGATCTGATCACTGACTTTTCCTGGCCGACTCGACAAGGCTCCGAGACGCAACAAGTAGCAACTCATGCTCAGGAAACAAGCTGTCGTGCCGGCGCCACCGCGCTCACCCCTAACTCCCATGTCCGATGGCCCTCAGGGTGGGTGGGTCGGGCACTCTGATTCCATCAGAAGAACAGTCTGAATAATACGTGGGAAACGTGAAAGAAGCCAATGCAAGCTCGTGCCGCCATCAACTTCTGGGATTGACTCGAGCTGATCGAGCTGCTTGAGAAGTCTGCCTTTCTTCTCGTACCGCTTGCAGCTCGCCAGGCTTTTCCATCGCCCTCGCTTCTGGACCTGCGCGATCGGGCGGTCGCCCAGGTCATCGGTGGAGGCGCCCCCGCGCCGCAGGCAGTGATGGGGGGGGCTGCAGGCTGCCGAATTTCAGCTCCTCCACCCCTCGATGGGAGATGCGCTCGAATCCCGCGGGCGCCAGGCCGGCGAACGCCAGCTCTCCGTCGGCGGTCGCCCGGTGGAGGACCGAGAGCTCCATCGAAAGGAACGGCCGCCTGATCTCCGAGGTCTCGCCGAAGATGACCGCGTCGTCGAAGTCGCCGCTCTTGGTCGGACGACCCTCCTCTTCGGTGCAGATCATCGCCGCCCAGCAGCGGCGTCCTCCCCGGGCGCACTGTGGCGGGGTGAGCTGGTCTCGGCCCAGCCCGAGGCCCTCCGAGGCCCGCAGGTACCTGTCAAACAGCACGAGCGTCAGCGCCGCTGAGTTCACCATGACCAGGCTGCGCTGCTCGCCCATCCAGCGGGCAAGGGCCAAGGCCGCCTCCCAGGGGCCGCCGTCCCGCGACCTGGCCTGCAAGGCTTTGCAGAAGCCGCGCAGGGCGCGTCGGGTCCGGGGGAAGTGCGGCGACTTGGCCCAGACCTCGTCGATGTGGAACATCAGCGCGTGGATGGCGTTGTTGGCGCGAGAGGAGGGCTCCCCGTCGAAGTAGAGCTTGTCGAGGTAGCTCTCGAGGGCCTTGTCGCGCGCCTCGGGAGTCTCGACCACCGGGTGCTGCGCCTTCCACCGCGCCGTCAGGTCGTCGCACTCGCGCTGGTAGACACGCAACGTCGCCGGGCCCACGGACCTCTGCTTCAGGTAGCTCTCTTGCCCGGGCGTGGCGACTACCTCCTTGGCGACCGCCCGTCGGTGGGAGCTCCGACGCTGCCGAGCCCTGGCGGGCGGGCGACTGTCGACGCCGTCCTGCGCCAGCAGCCCCAGCGGTGGCCCCCCGCCACCCGAGAAGCTCGCCCGGCTCGCCAGCCGCCCAGCCCAGCGAGCGGAGGGCGAGGCGCCGTCGCTCCGCGCTGTCGCCACAGAGCTGGCGGCCGGCAGCGCGCTCCCATCCAGTAGCAAACCGCCGTGTGCAGGTAGGGGCCGCGAGCGGCTCCGGCTGCGCGACCCGCGCGGCCGCGGCCAGCTCGCCCTCCCAGCGGGGGTCGAGCAACGGCTCGCCATCCCGCCGAAGCGCGCTCCGACCCAGGGCCCCCCTCTCGAGCCCCTCCGCGGCGACGCGACGCAGACCTCGAGGGTAAGCTGCGGCCAGAAAGATCTGCCATTTCCAGACGTGCGTCCCGGCCCCGCCCAGGGCCTTCACTTTGCCCTCGAAGATCTCGTGGGGGACCTTGCACGCGCACTTTCTCCCAATGATTTTTAGCTCCGGGAGGTTGGCGATGAAGCCGGCGGGCTTCTTGTAGGGGGCCCCGTAGCGGCAACAGTGGTACTCAATGGACTCACACCTCATCTTGTTGAACATACTGGCGAGGGGTGGGTACTTCAGGAGCCTCGAGGATGCAGGATTTTCAAGCGATGCAGATACCCCAGACTTGCGGCACGCCTTGAGGACCTTCACCGCGAAGTCAGCACGCCCAAGACCTGCCCGAGAGCCCTCGGAGCCCTTGGGCCCCGCGCTGTTCGCGACGCTCCAGCGCGCGCAGGGAAAGGCGAAGTGGGCGTGACCAACGTGTCTCCGAACAACCCACCGTGTGATTCTTTGCTGCGCGCCGACTTCGAGGACGTTGAATTGCGGCCCCGCTGACGAACCCACCGGGCACAAGATGCGCGGCCCAGCCGCCAGAGGGCCTCGAGCACCCGCTGAAGATCTCCAGCACGCCGCAGCGTCTGGGGCCCCCCCCTGCCCCGGGGGGCCTGGGGGCCGGGCATGCGGCCGCCGAGTCGGCGCCCGCGGCCGCCTCGCAAGCGGCGCTGCGAAGCCGACCCGGGCGCGCGGCAAGACGACCGCCGCGCAAGGCCTCGCCCGGCGCCAGCAGCCCTCGCTCCGCCAGCCGCGAGTCCGAGGCGAGTCTCGACGTAGCGCCGCGCCCACTTCACCTCGGCCCCCAGCTCGACAACGGCGGCCCGCCGACAGATCACTTGCAGGGCAGGGTTGCCCGCCCGGCTCCGTTCTGTCGCCGCGACCTCCGAGAGAACGTCGCCGAGAGACAGGGCCGCGCCGCCATGACTCGCGGGGTCCCGCGCAGCATGGTACAGCCCTGTCATCGCGATCCTCGCCTCCTTCATGTGGATCGCCTCGCGCCTCTGCCTGGCGCCCAGAAGCAGCCGCTGCCAGCGCCCCAGCGCAGCCATGCTGTCAGGCAGCGCGGGGGCGATGCCAGTCGCCTGGGGGCGCGGGGGCCCCGCCTCGACCGCCATCTTCGCCTCGACGGGCGCCGGGTTGCTCACCCGGGCCGCGCGTCGGGCAGGGCGATCGCCAGCGTTCGCGCCAAGCCAGACGCTGTTCTCCACCTCTCAGTCGGCGCCTAACCCGCGGAAGTCGGCAGCCAGCCCAGACTCAGCACCAGCGAGGCCTGGCCCCTCCCCCCCCTCCTCGGCGTCGGCGAAGCGCCAGCGCTCCCGCCGCTGGCAGACGTCGCGCAGCTCGCGCTCCCCGACGACCCCGGTAAGGATCGCACAGCCACCTGCCGAGGCGCCCGAGCAGAAGGCAGCGATGTAGCGATGAGGTCGAGGCCGGCTCCGAACGAGAAGAAGCAAGCAACGGCGCCCAACTCTCTGCGCCCATGGCTGTCAAAACGTCGGAGGCGGCCCAGGTTCTCAGAGCTAAACGCACGCAACTTCGACAGGACACTGAGGGCCTGTCGGGCCAGCATGAAGGAATTCACCAGGTGGCCCAGTGCAATGCGCATCACTTCGCCTGCGCAGCCGGGCCGTAACTCCAACTGCCGCAGCGCGTGCCACAGCCGCCAGAATCGAGACCGCTTCTGTCGTCAGGAGAACTTAGAACCCTGGAACTCGAAGCCCACCATGTCCAGGTTCGGGTCGCACTCGACGTTGCCCCGCAGGGTGAAGCCACTCTCGCAAAGCACGGTGGCCATGGACTCGTGGAAGATGCTAACATCCTCGCGGTCGAAGCAAAGCAAGTTGCCGTTGTCAACATACGGCGCGGCGACGGGCTTGCCCTTGGCCAGCCGAGGCGCAGGTCGCCCATCGCGGAGCAGCTGGGCCTCCGCCAGCGCCGAGTCGCAGCGCATCGCGCGGACGAGCGACTCCACCATCGCGTCGGTGAGCGCGGAGTGGCAGATATACAACGCCCGCGCCCACCCCATGGGCACGTCGCAGAAGCAGGGCCGCGCAGCCTCCGCCGCGACAGGCAACCAGGTGCCCTTCCCGCCGGCGACGTCGAACACCTCGGTCATGCCCGCCTCCGCCGCGGTCATGCGGCAGTCGACGCCGAACCAGTCGCTCATCACTTTGAAGCACATCTGGTAGAAGCCGTCCTGGAGGTCGACCGCGGCGCCGCACAAATCGGGAAGGAGCAGCTCCCGGGTCCAAAGCCTCGTCGCTGAGGTCCAGGGCGGACGCGGCGCCAGGCGTCGCCGGGTACTTCTTGATGACCGTGAAGAGGCTGATGAAGGCCTTCACCGAACGCCTGAACCCCGCGAGGTTGCCGCGGTGCAGCGTCGTGGTCAGCTCCTTCAGCAGCCTCCGGCTCCGTCGAAGTCGCGGGTCGACGCAGGGCCGTGGCGGAGGCCCGTCCACCTCCACTTTGCCCGGGGCGTCGTTCAATGCGCCGCCGAGGATCAGCCAGAAGTCGGTGGGCGCCAGCGCCGACGACGCCCAGCGCCTTCTTAGGGTCCGTATCGTTCTTCAGTATCTTGAGCCGCTCCAGCTGGATCGGGGCCCCTCTGGCAGCGTCGCTCGCCAGGTGCACGCCAGTGCGCCCCAGGAGCTCCGGAAGCGCACTAAGGAAGTCACCGCGTGGAGGGGGGGGGGGGGGGGGGGGGGCTGGTCGTCTACCCGCTCCGTGACGCGGCCCAAGATCGACTGCTGAGCCGACGTGGCCACTTGCTTGGTGGGCCTCGGCCGCCGCGGCTGCAGCGGCCGACCGACGCGAGAGGCAAACGTGCTGTTCAGGGCCGTGACCGCGTCCGCTGCCAGCGCAGCCGCCGACCGACGGATCGTCGCCGGCTCGAGTCGGGGGGGCGGCATGGGGGCCGCCCGATCACCTTCGCCTCCGACGCCGTCGAACGCGCGCAGCGGCTAGGGGAACGCGTCGCAGTGCGACGTCAAAACTTCGCGGTTCAGCGAGGCCGAGGGCCTCGAGGTCGGGGGGCGCGGCTGCGGTGCTGAGGCCCCGCGATGCCGATCGGAGCGCAGCAGCGCCCCTAGTCCCTTTAGTCCTTGCCCGACTTGCCGCCGCCCGAGCTGCGGCTCGCCCCTTCCCACAGCACGGTCGCCGATCATGCCCCCGTCGGCGATCACCTCGTTGAACCGCTCATGTCCCGTGTCCGACACGCGCCAGTGCCGGTCCGCCGCCGCCCCGACCGCTCCAGCAGCAGGCTGGTGCCCAAGCACCCGCGCCAGCTGCCCGCCCCGCAGAAAGAGGTCCTCCCGCTGGTCGAGCGTGAGCGGGTCGAACCAGCACGTCCCCGCGCACCTGCGCAGGCCACGGCGCCGAGCGCGCCAGAGCGCGCCAGAGGCAGCACGCGGTGGCCGGTCAGGTCCAAGACCTGGACCAAGAAGTCGGGCGTGGCGCACACCCAGCGCCCAGGGCCGAGCTCGTACAGCAGCAACCTGTGGTGCCATGTGAGTTTCGGATCGTCCGGGTAGTCGACCAGGACCTGAATGATGTCCGTGTCAAGCGTGGTTGCCATCACGCAGGCGACGGAGCGTCGTGGGCGTCACGCCCGCGCTGTCCACCACGGGCTGCTCAGCAGCCGGGGCGGCCACGGGCGTCCTCGCGTGGCCAGCCAGTGCCGCCTGCAGTCCCAACGTGCCGCCGCGCCCAGCAGCAGCCCCAGCCCTGCGGCGACCAGCAGGCCACCGGCAGACGGCCCGCACTGAGGCGCGAGCGGGCAATGCAGGTGGTCAGGCCCGCAGCGGTCCAGCTGAGCCCGCAGGGTGGCCGGCCGCCCCTCGTCCAGGGGGCTCGAGTCGATAAGCAGGTGCAGCTGGTCGAGCCACTCGACGCGAGCCGTCCTGTCGCCGCGCCGAGCACCGCCGGCGCCAGCCCCCCCAGCTGATCTGCAGCCCACTGCATCAGCGGGCTTGGACCAAAGAGACTATAGAGGCGCCCAATAATCCACCTCGGACGATTGGCCTGAGACCGCCTCGCCGCATCTAAACAAAACAATCAAAGACAAATATAAAAGCATACATCATCCGCCCCCTGTTGCTTGCAAGAGAGGTGCCTGGCGTGCCAACTCCTATGGTTTTTGGTTTTGGTTCTTTTTCCAAAAGAACTCCCCCTGGGGCTTCGGCCCGCCCCGCCGGGGTCCCGGATAGATTGCCCAGAACCGGCTCCAAAGGATTTGTCCTGTCCAGACGGCTCCAAGACGGCGTCCAAGACGGCAGAGATGGCCCCAAGAGGCCTCCAAGACGGCCCAAGATGCACCCAAAACGGCCTGAGATGGCCTCCAGATGGCCCAAGAGGCCCCCAAGAGGCCTCCAAGAGGTCTCCCAAGTGGGTATTTGTACCTTTTCGGCTTACCGACGGCCCAAGACGGCTCAGGAGGCCCCCGCAATCGCCCCAAGATCGCCCACGAGGCCTCCAAGATGACTCCATGACGGCCCAAGAGGCCCCCAAGATGCTCCTAAAAGGGCCCCAAGACCGCCCGAGAGGCCTCCAAGACTGCTAAGATGGCCTCCAAGACTGCTAAAATGGCCCCAAGATGCCTCCAAGACGGCCAAGTATGCACCCAAGACGGCCTAAGATGGCCTCGAGATGACCCAAGACGGCACAAGAGGCCTCCAAGAGGCCTCCAAGACGGCCCAAGAGGCCTCCAGGAGGTCCTTGAGGAGGGCCCGAAGGCCAAAATCATTGATTTTCCTTGGGTTGTCGAAGGATTTTTGCATTTGCTTCTTTTCGGCATTCCGACGGCTCCAGACGGCCCAAGAAGCCCCCAAGATCGCCCACAGGGCCTCCAGGATGGCCCCATGACGGCCCAAGAGGCCCCCAAGACGGCCCAAGAGGCGTCCAAGACGACCAAAATGGCCTCCAAGACAGCTAAGGTGGCTCCAAGATGCCTCCCAAACGGCCAAAGATGCACCCAAGACGGCACAAGATGGCCTCAGGACGGCCCAAGACAGCCCAAGGGGCCCCCAAGAGGCCTCCAAGACGGCCCAAAAGGCGTCCAGGAGGTCTTCCAAGAGGGCACGAAGAGGCCAACATCACTGCTCATGAGGCCAATTTTTCAGTGGTGCAATCTGATACCATATGGAGCCATCCAGATGGTGCAAGAGAAATGACATGCATGGCTTAGTAGACATCAGGATAGAGGCACAGGCGAGAGACGTGCCTTATGTAAAGATAGGTCCAGGGTGGCTGTGGGTGGGCAGCTTGAGCCCAGGCAGCCGCGGGGAAGGCTGCTATGGGCGGCAACAAACCAAACGGTCTCTCAGAGCAAACGCGTGCGCATCGCACTAATATGCTCATGAGGCCTCTTTTTTGCTCGGTGGTGCAATCTGATACCATATGGAACCATCCAGATGGTGCAAGAGAAATGACATGCATGGCTGAATAGACGTCCGAAACATTGGCATAGTCGAAGTTCTCGGCGTACCGGCATAAGCGCCCCAAGAGGGCCCCGAGCCGGCCCAGGAAGGCCCCCCAGACGGCTCAGACGGCGTCAGACGTGCCAGGAACCCACCAAGATGGCCGAAGTTGGCTCGACGCTGGCCCAAGACGGCCCAAGAGGCCCCCAAGAGGGTCTCCAGGAAGGCCAGAAGAGGCCCCCAAAAGTTATGTTCCTAAGGTTTTTGACGGATTTTGACATTTGCTTCTTTTCGGCCTTCCGACGGCCCGAGACGGCCCAAGAGTCCCCAAAGATTGCCGAAAGATCGCACAAGAAGCCTCCAAGATGGCCCCAGAACGACCCAAGAGGGCCCCACGACGGCCCAAGAGGCCTCCAAGACGTCACAGGAGGCCTTTAAGACGCCCAAGATGCCCTCCGAGACGGCCCTGGAGCATTCCACGAGGGCCCCAAATCGGCCCATAGAGGCCCCCCAAACGGCTTCCGACGGCGTCAGACGGACCAGGAGCCCACCAAGACGGCCGAACATGGCCCAAAGATGGCCCACGACGGCTCCAAGAGGACCTCCAGGAAGGCCAGAAAAGGCCAAAATCCTTGACCTCCCATGGATTTGTTGAAGGACTGTGGTATTTGTTCCCCATATCCTGAGATGGGGTTCTTGTTATTACTTGGACGCCTCCTACTCCTCCTCCTTCCTCCTCCTCTTTTCTCCTCCCCTCCTGTCGGACATACTCAGACTTGCTCATACACAGACTTACTCATACTCAGACTTACTCATACTCAGACCTACTCATACTCAGACTTACTCACACTCAGACATACTCATATACAGACTTACTCATACACAGACTTACTCACACCCAGACGTACTCATACACAGACTCACTCATACCCAGACTTACTCATACACAATATTAGTCATACCCAGACGTACACATACACAGACTTACTCATACACAGACTTACTCATACTCAGCACCCCTAAGGGGAGCCGCCAGGGGTGGTTGCACGGGCTCGTTCGCTGCCATTTTGTGGGGATGCCTCAGGCGGTTTGACTGTTTCTGTGCCCAACATCCTTCGCTTGGAGAGCAGATTGTGAGGATGTCTCAGGCGGGGCGCTGGTTTCAGCACCCCTAAGGGGAGCCACCAGGGGTGGTTGCACGGGCTCGTTCGCGGCCATTTTGTGGGGATGTCTCAGGCGGTGTGCCTGTTTCTGGGCCCAACATCCTTCGCTGTCGGAGCAGATTTGGAGGATGTCTCGAGCGAGGCGCTCATTTCAGCACCCCTAAGGGGAGCCGCCAGGGGTGGTTGCACGGGCTCGTTCGCGGCCATTTTGTGGGGATGTCTCAGGCGGTTTGCCTGTTTCTGGGCCCAACATCCTTCGCTTTCGGAGCAGATTTGGAGGATGTCTCGAGCGAGGCGCTCATTTTCACCCCCCAGGTGGGCCAGATTTTGAGGATGTCTCGATCGGTTTGCTTGTTTTGGTGGCCAGGCTCGTGGGCGCAGATTCTTCTCAGGATGCCACAGGAGGCTCCAACAGGCTCCAGGAGGCCCCAGGAGACCACATGAGGTCCCAGGAGGCATCAGGAGGCCACAGAAAGACTCAAGAGGCCACAGGATGTCCCAAGAGGCTCCAGGAGGCCCCAGGAAGCTCCAGAAGGCCTCAGGAAACCACAGGAGACCCCAGGAGGCAACAGGAAGCGCCAGGAGGCCTCGGAAGGCAACAGGAGGCCCCGAGAGGCCCCGGGAGCAGGAGGCCTCAGAAGGCAACAGGAGTGGCTCCAATCCCATGTGTTTTACGTATGTTCCTATCGATTGGGCCTCACCTGGAGCACGATTCTTTAATGTTCTACGCATGTTTCTATAGATGGTCCTTCTCCTGTGTACACAATCCTAAATGTTTTACTCATGTTCCTATGTATTGGGCCTCTCCTGGGGCACGAGTCCTTGATGTTTTACGCGTGTTCCTATAGATTGCCCTTCTCCTGTGGCTCTAATCCGCAATGTTTTATGCGCGTCTGTTGCTATAGAGTGCGCCTCTCCTGGGGCACGAAACCTTCCTAGGAGGTCCCAGGAGGTCCCAAGAGGCCCCTGGAGACCCCAGGAAGCCCCAGTAGGTTTCAGGAGGCCCCAGGAGGCCCCAGGCTCATGCACAGAGACGCGCCCGTACTACTGAGGCCCATTCACACTCCAATTCATTCGCAGTTAGATTGATGTCCAGACCGTCACAACTGAAGCCCGATAATACTCGAAAGCTCTTGCGCCTAGACATTCGCGGCGGACAGGTCCATGCGAGTAGATGCACATATGGGGAGCTCCACGCAGTGAGTATTTTGTTTGTCTGACTTCCGACGGCCCGAGACGGCCCAAGCGCCCCCAAAGATCGGCCCCAAGAGGCGCCCAAGACGGCCCAAGAGGTCCCCAAGACGCTCAAGATGGCCTCCAAGACGGCCCAAGAGCCCTCCAAGACGTCCTCCAAGAGGGCCCGAAAGGGTCAAAAAGGCCTCCAGGCGGCCAAGATTACCTTCAAGATGCCAATGTGTTCCCCGAAGGCTTTCCAAACCAACTCGGGGAGCGCATGGTCCGATAGCTCGGCAGGTCTGGCCTCAACGTTCGGCCACGTGCTTGAGGAACGGAGCCTGGCACAGGGCAGCTTTGGCAGGCGGCAACGGCCCGCGGCAACAGAGACATTCTGGAGGCAACGGGCTGGCTTTGGGAGCCAGAAAGACTATGGAGCAGGGCTGAAACGGAACTGTGCGATGCAAACTCGTTGAACAACGTGCATGCGTCATCCTTTTTCCAGTATCTGCTTGAGGAACGGAGCCTGGCACAGGGCATCTTTGGCAGGCGGCAACGGCCCATCTACAACAAAGCACAGTACCCATCAGCAAGCATTGCACTGGCTTAGCCGTGAAGCAACATCCATTTTCGGAAGACCACCAATAGCGTCAATCGTTTGCGAGAACATTCGAGCAAGCTGCCTGCAGAGAGCGTCGGGATAGGCGGCCTTCTGGTGAGTGCGAAAGTGAGTGGCACCGCTCTCCTTCCCAGACAGCTCAAGATGGGGCTGACCTGAAAAATCACACACGCCGCTGCCATGACACTTCATAGACAGGAGAGAAGGAGAGGGGCGACAATGCAGGAATTGAAACTTAGTGCGAACTCGAAAGGGACGACCTGCAGCACACTGAACAACAAGTGCTTCGAAGAAGAAAGGAGAGTGCTGGCGGCGCGTTCTGTCAGGAAAGTGCTACAGCCAACTGCTGCAAGGATTCTCTTCACCGACAGGAATGCCAAACTTTGCTGCTAGCTGCCAGATCTGACCCGCGCGAGAGGCAAGCAGGCTGCCAAGCTCAAGCTTGGCCTGATCGGCAGCAGCTAAGCCTGGCAAGCCAAAGATGTGTGAGCTGTCACGAAGGCGTCGGGGCATGCGAGAGGCAGGGCCACCTCGTCGCGCTTGCGAAAGCGACTCACAAGGCGTGCCCATGAAAATGGCCTTGACTTTGCCGCTGGCAATCCAGCCGCGAAGCACGGCCCAAGGCGCAGGCTGGGCAAGACCAAACTCCTGCCCGTGAAGGACATCCCACTCTATAACAGTATGCCCTGCCTGTCGCAAGTGCCGCGCAAGGTTGCCAGAGCCACTGAAGAGTTCAATGATAATGCGGGAGTCATGTCCCCTGCTACTGATCACAGCTGAGGCGAGCACTGCTTGCAGGCGGCGTCGAGTCCAGCGGCCAAACGTTCGATCTCCTGCCGCTGGTGGGCTGGAATCTTCATCCACTCGATCGCCACTCGCCCGTGCTTGTCGTAACGCCGCGAGCTGTTGAAGGCGCGCAAGTTCCCGCGCTGCTGCGCTTCCCTTAGCGCGCGGCTGCCCGTCAAGCGGTCGTGGCTGGCGCCGCCGTGCCTGAGGCTGTAGAGCGTGCCGGCTAAACAGCTGGCTCCCACAGCCTCGAGCGCCTGGCCAAACCGCCGCAGGAGGAGACTGTAATCGAAGTCCCACAGCGGGTGCCAGGAGCCCAGGCGGGAGTCGCGGAGGCGCGCCAAGGCCCAAGCCAGGGCTTGCTGCCGCGGGAGGTCGAGCACAACGGTGTGGTCCATCTCGCCTGTCTTGCCTGGTTGTTGCAACTCTGCAGCATGCACAACTACTGACATGTGCGAGCCCGCGCTGGTGGCCGAGCCGAAAGGGCCCGTGAGCTGAGCGGCCCGCAGCGCCAGCGCCTCCGAGGGTCTCAGGTAGCCCTCGAACATCAGCATGACGCACAAGGCGGTCGCAAATTCGCCCTGGTGCGCAAGCCAAGCTGCCGCCGCGCGAACCACGAGCTCTGGAAGAGGCGGGCGCGAGCCTGGCGGATGCAGGCGCTTCCAGCCCGCCAGCGAGTGCGCGAGCTGCGGGAAGCACCTCTGCAAGGGCGCCACGCGGAGCTGAGGGGGCCCCCAAAGCACCGCGGCGCCAAGCCTTGCAGCCGTCGCCCGCGCCACTCCCTGGTCGAAGGCCCACGGCAGGAAGTCGGTCAGCGCTGCGTCCCAAGCCGCCACGGGCCAGTCGGGCAGCGCGTCCACCATGAGCCAGCCTGCCAGCAGCCGCAACACCTTCAGGTAGAGCACCCGAGTGGACGGCCGCACCTTGTTGGCTGCCAGAAAGCCCTGGCGGGGCAGCAAGCGGGCCCGCTCCTGGGCGGAAGGCGGCGGCAGCTGCGCTCTGCTCCTTGCGGATCCGCCACCACCAGCGGCTCGCTTCCGGGTCGGCGAAGCGCTTCCCACCTCTGGCAGGCTCGGCTGGCCGAGCGGCGGAGCCGCCTGGAGCGTTCGGACCTCCTGCATGGCCACTGCCGCTGTGACGCCCGAACTGGTCTCCGTGCTTGGGCCAAGACGGCTCCGGACCAGACTGGAATCGTCTTGAAGGGCCATCTGCTGGGTTGAGCTCTGAGGGGATCCATCTGAACGTGACCTTGAGATTGCAGGCGACCGATATGGCAAAGGAGCAGCGGCAGCCTGACAAGAGACCAAAGTCGGACGCACGGCCCTTTTCATGAGCGCAGATCATCGACATGTTGTCGCCCAAGCTCAGCAAGCGATGCCCGTGACATCTCGAGTTGCGAGAGGCGCGCCGCAGCCAGAGAAGCCCTGCTGAGCTCTCTAGCCTGTGGATGGTACTTTGGCGCCTCCACTTGCATGCAACAGCCGTGGCGCAGGTCGCCTCACGCAGCAGCTCGGCGCTCACCTCGGCGAAACCCGCCGCGCGCCCGAGCAGAAGTGCGGCTGGGTCCGAGAGCTCGACGCTGTCGGCAGCCAGGGCAGAGTCCCGCGGAGCCACCAGTGAGGCGAGGGGCCCGCGAAAGCGCAGCTTCTCCGGCTGCCTGCCAGCGGCCTGCACCGCGCTCAAAGGCCAGCGCGCAGTGCAGACTCCCGCGCCCCACGGCGACGCGTCAAAGGCACCCACCTCAGAGTGCCAGGGCCTCTTCATGTCGGCGAACACCGTGGGCAACAGCGCAAGCACCCACCTGAGCTCGCGTCGGCAGCTGGGCCACAGCGGCTGCGCCCTGTCGTAGGTCGAGCGGATGAAGACGTAAACCGCACTGAGGAGGCTGAGAGCCTCACGCCGCAGCAGCAGCAGCGCAACCACGTGCCCCGCGAGCCTCTCCAGCTGGCGACCCGTGATACGCCATCCCGGCTCCAGCAGGTGCGAGATGCAGCCATGCACCCTCCAAAACTTCTCGGGTGCGGGGCGCCACCTGGCGGCCTTCGAGTCCAGCGTGAAGCCAAGGAGGACGACGTCCAAGTCAAGCGAAGCCCTGACGCCCTCACTGGTGAACGAGTCAAGCATGTCGTTGACCACCTGAACCGGTCTCGCGACTGGTGCTGATGGCAGCAAAGTTGTCTATGTACAAGACCTTGGCTGCGGCTGAGCTGTCCGAGAGGCACGCCCCGGGCTGCTTGTCCACCAGCCACTGGTTGCTCGGAGAGACCGAAACCAGCACGTTCAGGTGGGCAGACTGCACAAAGTGGACGGCCCAGTTCCATCCCATGGGAACGACCCGCACGCGGAAGGCTATCCTGGGCCGCGCCGCAAGCTCTGGCCCCAACGCCTCACGCAGGCGGGCAGGCAGCATGCGGGTCGCCAGGCTCGGCAAGCAGAAGTAGTTCCTGGCCCATGCAGGAAGCACGTACTGGTAGAAGCAGACCTCCACGTCGCCCGCAGCCAAGTGCACCTCCTCGCCGGGCGTGCACTCCAAGCTGCTGAGGGCGTCGCCGGAGGCCAAGTGCGTGTACTCGGGCGTCCTGAAGTGACAGTTCGCCCTCCTGGTGTCGAAGATGAGCCTCAGCTTGTCATCTTTGCGCGGCGCGAAGTAGACGCCCGTCTCCTCCTTCCGTTCCAGCTCATAGCCCAAAGCTTCGACGATCCCTGCGTCGTAAAGCTCGAGCAGGAACCGCCCGTAGTCAATGCCCCGCTGGGCCAGCTTACCGTCCACGTAACACGTGACGTCCGCCTCCTCCAGAGCAGCAGTAGCCTCCTGCTCCGAGCGCAATAACCCGTGCCCGGACTCCAGCGCAGACTGCAGGTGCGGGGGCAGCAGCCGAACAATATCGACACGCCCAGCACCGCCTGAAGGAAGAGAGACCTTCCCGCGCTGGTAGCCGGCTCTCGCCCCGATCGCTGGCTCGTCAGCATGGCCAGGTCGAAGCCTTACGACGCTGATTCTAAGCATATGGCCTAGGGGTGTTGTGGCATGGATTTTGATGGAAATCGCGGCATGGTGTTTTGATGGGTCTGGTTTCGGCCCTCGGGAAGGGCCATGGCCAGCACCAAAGACTCTGGCGCACGTCATGGGAAGAGAACGGGCTGAACCCGCATTCCCGCGGCGCGGTATCGCGCGCGCTACTCGCGCGGCGCGCCCTTCAGGGCGCGCTAAGCGCGGCCGCCATCGTGGCCGCTCGAGTTGTATAGTGGCCACCGTAGGGCGTACTTAAATTCGATTCGGCGCTGAGCTCTAAAAAAGTCCTCATCATCCTCTCGTCTCCTCCTCTAGTCCCCTCCTCTCGCCCCCTCCTCTCCGTCTGCCTCCCTCTCTCCGCCCCTTTCCCCCCCCCTCTTCGTTGCTTTCGCCTCCCCCCGCCTCCTCGCTCGTTTTCCCTTGCCCTCCTCGCCCTACCCCTCTCTCCCCGCTCCCATTTCCCCCCGCGGGGGGCGGCGGACGCGGGCGGAGCCGTCGGCGATGGCGTCGGCGACGGCGTCGGCGACGGCGACGGCGTCGGCGAAGGCGAGGGCGGGCGAGGGGGGAGGAGGAGGAGAAGGGCCTGCCGTCTGCATGGCCCTCCTCCTCTGCCGTTCCCTCCCCCCTCCCTCCCCCGTTCTGCTTCCTCTCCCTCCTCTCCTCCCCTCCCCCATCGCCTCGCCTCCCCTCCCCCTCCTCCCCTCCCCTCCCCTCCTCCCTCCTGTCTCCCGCCCTCCTCCTTTTTCCCCCTTCAGGCTCCTCCCCCTCCTCTCCCTCCGCCCATCCCTTTGCCCCGCCCTCCTCCCGTCCCCCCTCCGGCCCTCTCTCGCGGACACGTTTTTCCATCCTCCATTTCTCTCCGTCTGAAACTCGCCTGGAGGATGGGCCCCTCAACTTCAGCCCCTCATGTACTCGACGATCTCCTGCTGCATCGCGCGGTGCAGCTGGTTCTGCTGGACCCCGTGCTCGGGGAACAAGTCCAAGACGTTCGTCATCGCCATGGTCTTCGCTGCCTTGTCGCTGTCCGCGTGCTCCCTGATGGCCTGGGCGGTGCAAGCCTCCATGCGCACAGTGTTCGCCAGGGCGATCGTCTTCTCCATATCTTCGATGGCCGTGGTGGCGGGGTCCATCCCGTAAGAGTTGAGTGCGTCCTTCACGCTCTGGATTGCCTTCTTCATGCTGTCGGTGTTCGATGCGACCTTGGACGCCAGGCCTTTTGTCGAGAACACCGTCTTCCTCAGAGCCGCCTCCACGTCGGGCCATGGGGCCTCGGGGTCGACCTTTGCCTTCCAGCCCTTCTCGGAGTCGCCAAAGCTGACGATGCTCAAAAGCTTGGTCTGGACGGCCTTGGCCTCCTCGACGATCGCGTCGACGTCGGCCTTCTCGTAGGCGGCCAAGGCCCTCGAAGCTGACTCGAGGAGGAACTCGAACTTATCCTTGATCTGCGCGATGCTGATGAGGTTGCTCTTTGGGGCACCAGTCTGGTCTGTCATGCGCTCCATCTTCTCGCTTGCGTTGCCGACGCAATTCTTCAGGAGGTTGTAGGCAACGGACCCCTCCCGATTCGCGAGCTGCCCTGCTGGCTCCCCCATGTTCCAAAACTCCTGCAGGGAAAACGTCACCTTCATGACCGATTCCAGGAGGTTCAAGCTGCGATCGATGCTGCGGGTGCTTTGCTGCTAGTCGTCGCCGTCCACGAGGTCGCACAGCTTCGAAGCTAAATTGATCATCGTCTGGACCTCCTCCACGTTCAGACTCTTCACCTCGGCCGTCGTGCCCATCTGGATGGTATTGCAGGCGTCTGAGGCGATGGCGTCCACACCGCCGAAGATGACCATGACGTGCGCTGGGTTGTGAAACCTGTACCTGTCCGCCTCCTTAAATGAATCAATGACGGGCTTCATCGCACTGGAAATGTCCGTGGCTTTCTTAACGTTCGACACAGCCGTCAACAGCTTGCTCGATGACACGGCCCTGCTGACGCGGGCCTGCATTTCACGGATCCTCTCGATGAAGCGTTGCACCTGCTGCGTGAAGATCTTGACGATCCCCTCATGGGCCTGGCCTTTCTCGAAGCAGGCGTCGAGGCGCAACAGATCTTTCAAGAACGAGTTGAAGTCGTCCATGTGTTTCGCGTTCTCGGTATCATCTGCGAGGTCTGCCGTGTCCAGGTACTTGCCGCAAGCTGCGCAAAAAATCATGCAAAGCGTCGGTCGGGGTATCCGACCTGCACACAGTGAACCACTTCAACAGATAATCGACTGCAGTAGAGAACACCTTGACATCGGATACTCCTGCCTGCAGAACACTCCTTGTGTTAGCTATGTTGTCCTTCTCCTGCAGGTCCCCTTGGGATGCACGGCGCCACTCGCTCTTCTCAAACTTCCAGTAGTCGTTTTGGTCCAATGCGCGGGCGAAGCATTCCCACTCCTTGTCGCAGTCGCCGTGGAGCATCTGGCGGAACTTGGTCGTGTCAACCTCGATCGCGCAAGGGGCCTCGGCAGAGTGCTCTGAGATCGCGTCGATGATGACCAAGCAAACCTGGAAGTTCTCGTAGAACTCTTTCAGACCATCAATGGACGTACCCGCCGCTTTTTTAACCTCATCCTTCAAAATGGGGCGGAGCTCCCTGGCAACATCCAGTTCCTGATTGCCAGCCGAGATGATCGGGAGCAGCAAGTAGTTCAAAGCGTGGTCCCTCGCATGGGCCATGATCACGGAGGCTTTGTCTTCAATTGCCGATAGCTTAGGGCGGATCGGGTCGAACTTGCAATCGTCGTCTGCGTGAGGGTTGATAATGTCCCACACGTCATGCAACCCGGCGTCCACGAGGGTCTCGGAAACCAGAGCCCTGCACCACTTCGGGCACTGCTGAAAGTCCACGCTGCTTTTCTTGAACTCCATTAGGTTATTCCTGAAGATATCTTTCTTGCCGCGAAAGGTGTGTAGGTGGCTGGCAGCCATTTGTGAAGCTACCTCGATGAGTTCTAGCAGGGACTTCTTCCGATCCACGGCAATGGCCATCTTTGGAGAGAACCGCCTGACGGCATGCTCCCGATCGCCGAGCCTGTGCCCATCCAACATCGATGGGATGTCGCACTCCTTCTCCAGCTGCCTGATCCTGTCCATGTCGTCACCACTGGTTGCCTCGCCGAGCTTCGACGCGCTGTCGGGGTCGCCAGCAGCGCTGGCGGCACCGCGGGCTGCACGGCCCAATGCCGACATCCCCCCCGCGCTGAGGCGACTCCGAGCCGAGCGACTCCGAGCCGAGCGACGCGATGGAGCTGGTGACGGGGCAAGACTTTTCGCTCGCCAATCCGCCTGGCTGGCGGCGCGGCCTGCGCCCTTGGCCGCGTCGCCGGCGGAATCGGCGCTGCCACGGGGGGCCCCGCGATCGTCACCAAGCGCGAGCTTGCCGGCGGAGTCGTCGGGCCAGGGCGGCGGTGGACTGCCCGCTGGAGCACCGCGCCCATCTTCTGGAACGGGGGGGCTCGCTGGGGGCTGGCCCGCTGGACGGGAGCCCGGGGCCGAGTGATGCCGAAGTCCACCTGATCCGTCGGACTTGATCCTGGCCTCGAACGGGATGCTCTCGATTGTCGGGGTGGGGTTCCTCCCGCGGACGCACGTGGGCATTTTGCCTTTGAGTGTGCTGAGATCCTCCTTGAACACTTTTTCCCCTTGTTCTTTCACGAGGTGGCGATCCGATGTGAGAGCTCGGGTCCGCTGCTCGACGATGTGCTCGTCGATCCTGTCCACGTCGACGAAAGGGAGATCTGGGTTAACCGTCACGTAACCCTGCGCGGAGGCGCCCGAGGGGAACTTGATGCTGGAAATCTTGAGGTCGAGATCTTTCGGCTCGACGTCGGTCGGCATGGACGTGGCATCGCGAAGGCTGTCCTCGTTCCAAACTCGAAAGTGGCTACACATCCTGAAGCCGCTCCTGTTGACGATGTCGACGGTTTCCTCGGCGAAGGATTTTTGACGGGAGTCTTCTGAACACTTGCAGCACCTCTCGAACTGCTCGTCGAGGTTCTTGTCCTGGTTGAGCTGGTTGCAGAATTTGGGCCAACTTGGGTGCTTTTCCTTCCAGGCCCACTCCCACGGGAAGAGGCACCGCTCGCACGCGGCAACCGATCCATCAGGGAACCGATCCTGGGCCGTCTCCTTGGCGGGGCAGCTTGCTCGGCCGCAGTCGCGAAGCCTGCCCGTCGACTTCACCCTCGGCTTCGGATCGCTCTTCAGGGCCTTGGGATTACGGCCACGGCCCCGACCAGGCTCCTTCTCGCTCGCGGAGGCCTGGCTGTTGGAACGACGGGGGCCGTCGTCGTCGCGCGCACGCGCGCGCGCGTTCGCGCGCACGCACGCGCGCATGCACGCGCGCACGCACGCACGCGCGCACGCACGCACGCACGCGCCCACGCACCCACGCACGCACGCACGCGCCCACGCACGCACGCACGGACGCACGCCCCCCCCCCCCCCCCCCCCACCCCCCCCCGCCACACACACACACACCACACACACAACACACACACGCACACGCACACACGCACGCACGCACCGCGCACACGCGCACAAGCGCACGCGCACGCGCACACGCCACACACGTACACGCGCACGCACGTACACACCACACACGCACAACACGCACACGCACACACGCGCGCCGCGCACACGCGCACGCGCGCGCACGCGCGCACGTGCACACGCGCACGCGCCACCACACACGCGCACATGCGCACAAGCGCACACGCACACACGCACGCACACACACACACACACACACACACACACGCACACACGCACGCACGCACACACGCGCACGCGCAAACACGCGCACGCGCGCACTCGCGCGCGCACACGCGCACACACGCACACACGCACACGCACACACGCACACGCGCACACACGCACACAAGCACACGCGCACACACGCACACACGCACACACGCACACACGCACGCACACACGCACACACGCACACACGCACACACGCGCACACGCACACACGCGCACACGCACACGCGCACACACGAACACGCGCACACACGCACACGCGCACACGCGCACACATGCACACGCGCACACGCGCACGCACTTTTTGATCTGCGGGGCGAGAGCGAACCTCTTCCGCTAAAATCTAGGCGGGTTGCGCACAGCCATAAGTCGGGTTAGGGAGACAGGGCGCAGGAAGGCGGGGCCTCAGGCGGCCGGAGCGGGCGGGGCCCGGGGAGCAGGCGGCGCCGAAGTGGATGCGCAGGAGAATATGCGCCGTGGACAGGCCGAGGGCGAAGGCCCGGAAGGCGAAGGAAATGGTGTTGCCGTCAACGGCACTTCGCGAACACCAGCCTCGAGCACTGCAGGGGGGGGCGCGCCACTTGACCAGGTCGACGCCCAGGAGGAAGAAGAGCACCGCGAAGGCGATGACCGACGTTGCGCCGCCGGATGATGCGGGGGAGGCCCGGGGTGGTAGTCCAATCCACGACCGGGTAGCAGCGTAGCTTGAGGTGCGGCCGCCAAACGAAAGGGCCGTCCATGACCGACAGGAAGTCGGTGAACTGCAGGGGGGGCCCCTGCCCTGCATCGCCGGCGCGCGAAGACGGGCAGCCCGCGCGCGATGCGCTGATGTCCGCTATGCCAAGGACCCGGCCAGAGCCGCGCAGCGCCATGGCGAGCGGGGCCGCCGAGGCGGCAAGGCGCGGCGCCTGGCACGGGGCCGAAGCCGCGCAGTGCCGGGCGCAGCCGCCATGGGAGGGGGGGCGAGCGGGGGGGGGAAGAAGCGAACGGGAAGGAGAAGGGCCGGCGCTCACCGCTGGCAGTCGACGTGCCAGCCCGCACCGTCGGTGCTCACGTGGGAGGAGCTGGGCCCCCAGTGGGCCCAGGTGGGACACACGGCCCCAACGCGCGTTAAAGACAGGATGGGGGCGGGGGGATGGGGGGCAAGCAACAGCCGGGGAACGAGTGGACCAGCAGGCGGACGCCGCGAATGGACCGTGTACGTACCAAGTGCACTGCTACTGCGCCCGTCAGGCTGCGCGCGCCTGCGCCGCGCGCGTGACGGGGGGCGCCCGTGGGCTGCCGGGCTCCTGGATCAGCCTCCCAGCTAAGGCTGCGGGGGAACAGGTGGGGGGGAACAGGAGGGCGCACGTTCCCAAGCCAGGTGGCGAGGGATGGGGGAAGGGGGAACAGGTGGAAGGCGTGGCCAGCGGTGGGTTGGACAAGGACCTTGCCGTAAGCTGTTGGGAGAGGAATAAGTCGGTCGCAGCGCGCTGCGCCTGACAGGAGGGGCCGGTTGCAGGCTGGTCAGCGCCTGGGGCGCTTCCTGGTCCAGTTGTCGCTGTGCCCGGAGCTGCGCGCCTGTTCGTCCCCGCCCCCTTCGCCTTTGGCAACCTCTCTTTTCTGCTGGACATCCTGGTGCAGGGCCTTTTCCCAGACCCAATCCACGTAGACGCTGGCGCATCGAGACCACGTCTCCACGTGGTGGTTGCAGCTGTCCATATCATCAAGAAATTTGTCGAACGCGACCTGGTCTTTGGATTTGCCTTTGCCCTGCTCTTTGCACATATGCCTGCGCCGCGAGTGCCAGGCTGCGGTGAAGTGGTATCCTCTCTCAGCCTGCAGCCTCCTC